ACATTTAACACAGAGAAAAACCCAACTATGGAGAAGAGAAGAATGAACAGAGTGAATTCAAATTGATCGGACGGCATGGCTCAGCCTTGCAAGCTTGGTCAACCTTAAGTGTTGTAACATAATCTCTTATTCATATTAAATATCTTGTTCTATCTCTCTAGCCTAAGTTTGTTCTCCATCATATAGTGGTGATTGTTACGATGCAATGAGTTGGTGTAGACAATGATTTGAGTTACATGTAAGATCTTATAGATTAGGCAGATACATCATTACAAATTCACGATTTTAGAATCAGGTCTATTATTGAAGCAGTAACAGTGTCATAGTGGATCATAATTCTACAGACTATCCTGCTAATTCTATATGAACGAAGTGATGGTAAGTGAAATGGCGATGAGTTGACATTGAGCAGTAATTCCATGTTGAAATTCCCTGGAATAGTATGATAGTTACAATTAAGGAATGATATCAGTTATATTTATTGTATTTTCACATAACAGGCATAACTGTTTATATTCATTCGACAATAAGTAAGTACAATGTTTATGAAATAATGGAATACGGACAAAATGTCCATCACATCGATCATCTTCATTGACTGCAGTAGAATCTTCATTTGCCAATAAAAGGGTGTTCGTATTCTGAATAAAACAAAAAACATTAATCAATATTATAAACATTTCAATAGTTGAGATCATATGTCAATTGAATACCGTTTAGAACATCATGGAAAACTTGAAAACACTAGACGGTGGTCTACTCACTTGGTTTCACTTGCAGAATTATCTTTCGACTCTCCACTAAATGGAATATGAAAGTAGACAAGATGTAGATCACGAAATACAACTTCAATTATTTAACTAATTGTAGTTTAGTTAAATCAGTATACTGAACCATTTTGAATTGTATTAGTTATGTAATCAAATTCTATACTACCAATGTTTCTATAGAATATTTATGTTCTCAGTGATTATATCTAATGATGAATCACAAAAAGGATAGTAAATGAGGACACATAAAATGTGTACATATGCACTAATGTCCATGAAACTAAACAATGTTCTCACTTTCAATTAAACTTTCATCGACCTTGGAAATTAATGATATACTGGTGGAAATATAATCATTTATAATAGTACACGTACTTTAATAAGCAATACACATTCATATTGTTAGACTTTAAGGACATGAGAAAGATCATGTTTATTTGGTTTCATGTTACTAAGTTGTGAATATAACATCCGAAATATGATAAATACATGTGTATATTGTGTAAGATCTCGCTTTCCCATCAAGTGTTTATCGTGAATTAGCATACACAAACGGAAAACCAAGGTCCTCAAATTCAAAACGGAGAATAGCAATCCAATCACTCTTGATGACGAAACTTTGGAAGATGTCGAATCCTTCACATACCTGGGAAGCATCATCAATGGACAAGGAGGTTCACATGCAGACGTAAAGGCGAGGATTGGTAAAGCAAGGACAGCATTCCTACATTTGAAGAATATATGGAACTCGAAACAACTTTCAATCAATATCAAAGTGGAAATCTTCAATACGAACGTCAAGGCAGTTCTACTATACGGAGCTGAAACTTGGAGAACTACAACAACCACCATCAAGAATGTACAAGTATTTATAAATGGTTGTCTACGCAAGATACTCAACATCCATTGGCCGGATATCATCAGCAACAGCCTTCTGTGGGAGAGAACAAACCAACTTCCAGGTGAAGAAGAAATTAGGTTAAGACGATGGAAATGGATAGGACATACATTACGCAAATCATCAAACTACATCACGAGGCAAGCCCTAGCTTGGAAATCCTGAAGGGAAGCGGAAAAGAGGAAGGTCAAAGAACACATTGCGTCGGATAATAGAAGCAGATATGAAAACGATGGATTACAACTGGACGGAGCTAGAAAGGATTGCCCAGGACAGGTTTGGATGGAGAATGCTGGTGAGCGGCCTATGCTCCTTCACGAGGAGTAACAGGCGTAAGTAAGTAAGTAAGTAATAAATTAGTTAGTTAGTAAGTTTATCGTGAATTGTTTATGAACACACTGGTATGATTTCAATATTTCTCATTAAGATCTGTCCTAATTTGAAATGCACTTCTAGCTGAAGTTGTCTTATATTGTTTGATTATGTAGCTGATTATATTACCATGGACAGAGTGAATGCTGATAATTACACACCTATTATTATCACTCTGTTTATTTCACTGATCATGGACGGGAAATTGAAAAGTATACAAGATGATTGATAGACTCATTCAATTACTTTACTCCTTATTGTCATTATACACGTTGTTACAAACCGATCTTTTAGCAATACTTCACATTTGAATGTATAAAAATGCCTCTCAAACATCGCGCTAGTGATACATTAGGTTGGAAGGACCTACGTATTGAGCAGATTCATACATTTGTCTGAAGATGCCACATTTATTCGAAGTTTGACAACGCTTTATTCCGTAACATCTTCTAGTATGAATCGTATCCACCAAGTGAAATCAAAAGACAGAAGCAAGGAGGTTCTAAGATATATTTGACAAGCTATCAATATATCGAGAATCGTCTGATCTAATCTGGCTGGGGATTGCATGGGTTGTTGAATACGGCGTTCCCACTCGTGATCTGCTGTGGATGCATAACTGAGCGCCTTCAACATGGTGAGTCCAGTGAAGCTAATGTGGTCAGCATCTAATGTCGAAGACTTACAGAGCTATTTATCTGTGAGATTTATTTACCGTTACAAACTTATTAAATCGACCTATCACTTTATGGTCACCAAATCAAAATGTCAAACTGAAATCTTATTATAAGTGACTTCAGATAGCTGAATGTATTTTTCTGTATCAAACATCTTATAGTTTTGAATGAAAAAACAGTTATAAGTCAGTACTTACTGACTTATATCTGTTACCCCTCGTGTCCACCTGGAATCTCCATCAAACTATGTCTTGGACAATTCTTTCCAGTTGTTTACAATTACTATTTATCCTTTTGATGTCCGCCCTCAATTTCAGCTCCATATAGTAGAACTATCTTGACGTTCGTATCAAAGATTCGAACCTTGATGTTGGCTGACAGATGTTTTGATTTCCATTACAATTTTATCAGGTTACCATATTACAAGAGTTTGTTTAACCACCACTAATTAAGAGCTATATAACGATTGAGATTCAGATATTATGAGTAAATACTATTTTTATAAATTCCAGTCGTTTCATTTGTACGTACACCTCTTCATCCTTCAATTTGCGTTGCTCCACTGCCTTATAAATTAGAATTGTATGTCAAAGACTCGGAGAGTGGCCTGCTATAATAGCAACTTACTTCGGTTTAGGTGGCCAGTCAGTGTTCCAGCTCTCACACAAATCGAATGACGATATGTGGCATTTATGTATTCGATACCTCCTTGTATCAATGTTTATATGTTTAGACAAATAAATTAATAAGTTGCGTGTACTGGGAGAGTTATATATTCATTGGTCTGCACATTGAACTGAACAAGTTCTGTCTGTGTCATAGTTTCTGTAACTATTTTTAAAAAAAGAAATAATGTTTCACTCGATGAGACTATTATTTACGGACGACCATTGAACGATGCTAAACTGACATTGAGAGTTACAACTGATTGATCACTGGGTGGCGATCAATGTCATGCATGTCAATAGCATTCGATCTGCACTAATAAGGACTAGACAAGCATGACATTGAGCACCACCCAGTGATCAATCAGTTGTGATTATATCTCAGTCCTACAAGAGGTCGGTCGCGGCTCGGACAGCTCAGTGGTAACGTCTCTGACTGTGTAGCTGGGTGACACGAGATCGAATCCGCTAGGGAGCACCAGTGCCCTCAAGATTACAGGTACACCTTGTTGACGAGTGTTAAGTAGTACGAAACCTGAGTCCAGAGTTTCCGGTTGACTACCTCCAACCACCATCTAACCTGGACATTGAGAGTGTCCACCTAATAACCGGAACCAAATAAGGGTTATAAATCAGCGTGAAGAATTTAAATTATGACTTACAGTTGATGGTTAAGGGTTAGGAATTAGACTTAAGGTTTTCATCATAAACTAACGTTGGCTATAATGCCAAAACTCTATTTAATCAAATGAATGAGTTAACTTTGCACAAAAATCTCATACTTGATTAGTTCGTCCATAAGTTATAGTCTCGCCTTTTAATCTTTTATTGTTGGTTTCATAGAAATGTTATTGAGAATTTTTCATTCAAAACTATAAGATGTTTGATACAGAAAAATACATTCAGCTATCTGAAGTCACTTTTAATAAGATTTCAATTTGACATTTTGATTTGGTGACCATAAAGTGATAGGTCGATTTAATAAGTTTGTAACGGTAAATAAATCCCACAGATAAATAGCTCTGTAAGTCTTCGACATTAGATGCTGACCACATTAGCTTGAATGGACTCACCATGTTGAAGGCGCTCAGTTATGCATCCACAGCAGATCACGAGTGGTGACGCCGTGCTCAACATCCCCTGAAATCGGTAGCCAGATTAGATCAGTCGATCCACGATATATTGATAGATTATCAAATATATCTTTGAACTTCCTAGCTTCCGTCTTTTGATTTCACTTGGTGGATACGATGGATAGTAGAAGGTGTTACTGGTTAAAGTGTTGTCCAACTCCAAATACCTGTGGCATCTTCAAGTTTATTAATATGGGTGTGAATATGATATTAAAACTATACCACCGTAAAGAGATCTTTAGTTTTAATACCAAGAATCTCGTAGAGTTAACCTGAAGATTTTCTCATTAAACTATCACTGATTTCAATTTATTGTAAATTAATGTGGAAAATAAGACACACTGTTTCTCTTTATTTTTATTTATAAGATGAACTACTGTTTTAAATATAAGTAGCCTACATTTTAACTGATATTTTTTTCCAGTAAAACCTACGAAGAAATAGAGAGTGCATCAACATACTATTGGAATTATCAAAGATATCAAATGATCAATGATTATGTTCATAGATCACCACTTGCTCCACCAATTATTATTGTTTGGCATTTCTATGAAGCATATAAAGCTATTGGAAATCAATGCGCAAGTTTAAGAAATGCTGAAACAGCAAAATATAATCCATTTTGTAAATCAATCTGTTTATTTTTTTTTAACAATTCTGGTTATCAATGTAAATTATGATACTTATTTATGTGTAGCTTTGAATTGTCATGTGAATTCGATGTATATGATCCCTTTATTCATTAAGTCAGTATGTATTTTAACTGGTTCTTAACAGTTACAAGATGATAGCTCGTTTAAGTAGAAGCCTATTTAGAATGAGATCGTTTGTTTGTCGACACACATCCATTACATAAGAAATCTGGTTACATGTTTAATGTGTAGAGCTAAAATAATCTGCTCAATGGATGCTTTAAATGAGTAGTAGTTTATCAGTAGCATACTGATAGAGATGAACTGCTTGAGACGTTTTTTAAAGAAATATACGTAAACATGAAAAAAACCAAGTTTCGGATGTTGACCGCTAATAACAAAGTTCTATTTCTCCAAAATATCATTCAACGAGTATTTAGTTAGCGATATTGTCTATGATCATTCCAAGCGATGTATTATATACCTTCGTCATTTTCAATCTCCTACATATAGCGGTAGTGATGAAGTTCAGAACCTATGATCCTAAGTTTTTGAATTCAGAAGAAATTCATGAAAGTTATGTCCCTTCTTTGGACGGTTATGAATCAACAAACTATTTTATTAGGTTTTTTCACATTCTCTATTTGTTTGTTGTCTTCCATCTCATTTCGGGGAATCGGTACCTTAAACCTCACTATCCTTTACACATTGATATGCTTATCTCACATTTGTTTTACTTATTAAGGTGTACGATTTACCGATGTGAAAAAAGAAAGAGAAATGGTCAAATGGGAGCATATGAAAGCTATGGATTATTTAAGAGAACCATCAACTAAAGCAACTGGGAAAAGAGGTGTAGCTGAATCACGTGCTGTGGTATTTCGTGGTGGTGGAGGTGTTGGTCCTGGTCAAGGACCAGTAATGGATTTAAAAAGTGAAATGTCCAGTGTTACAGAGGTAATATTGATGCTATTCAATGATAATCTAAATTTGTCTAGAATATCAGTGAACAATATGAACGTATGTTGACTAGCTGAAATGAAATCAGGGATATTTTAAACATATGACCAGCATGTTTGACAATATAACTAGAGAGTCCCAGTATATACTATTCCGTTTTAGCGGATTTAATAAAAGCAAACAATTTTATTAGTTTAAAACCAGTTAAACATCCAGTTTTGTCACATATTACATTGGTCTACAATGGAGCAATATCAGAAGATGCAGTCCCATAATAGCCGGTGACCAATAATTGGTTCATACGCCATTTGTTCCCTCAGGATCGCGTAGCCCATGTGCACCATTTGTTTTGAATTAGAGTTTCCCAACTCTTCTAGGCGGATCCTCCATTTCCATCAACCCGTTTAAAGCTCCGAACATTCCATTTTTGTCCTCTCATTTTCGCAACCAATACCCTATCTGCGAGAAGTCAGTGTGCAGGACTTCCTTGACAGTGGCTGTATGCGTGTGGCTATATGAGAGCATTTGGAGAGGGAGAGATAACTCTTTCCACTCTCGGCCGTATCATGGAATATGCGGGTGAGATGTATATATTCTAACAATCAATATGAATCAAACAAAATCATCATTGGAGAGTGGTTAATCTAACATAACCGTCACTGTGACTACAAGCCCACATGTAGATAACGATGGTTTCGATGACAGCTTATCACTATTACATAGGAATTCCGTATGATATTGACTATTTTCTCAGGCACACTGTAGTGTTAAAAAGCCTCCATAATATTGCCCTGTCCACGCTATCAAATGCTTTCTCGTAGTCGAAGAGTTCGATGTAGAACGATGAATTTCATCTAATTGATTGTTCCACAATGATCTGTAGTGTTGCGATTTGGACTGTACACAATCGATCTTAAAGGAATCCAGTCTGTGGATCTTGAAGTTGGGCGTCTTGAGTACATAAGGATTAAATTATTCACAACTTAGGGCAGTCCTTCAAAGCTATAGCGATCAAACGTCAAAAATCATATCTATGTATTTAAAATGAGGCTGTAATAAGTCATTCTTTACCCTGGTAACATTATATCCCTTTTATTACATCATTCATTGTTTCAAATCTTCCTCAAGTTTTGGTTACATCACCGCCATTTTTCTTCAATTCATAATTTTTGTTCGGTTTGATGAAGTTCAACTTTTACTTACTTACGCCTGTTACTCCTTGTGGAGGAGCGTAGGTCGCTCACCAGCACTCTTCATCCAACTCTGTCCTGAGCGATCCTTTCCAGCTCTTTCCAATTGTTATTCACCCTTTTCATATCTGCTTCTATTTCCCGATGTACTGTATTCTTTGGTCTTCCTCTTTTCCGTTTCCCTTCAGAATTCCAAATTAGGGCTTGCCTCGTGATGCAGATCGATGATTTGCGTAATGTATGTTCTATCCATTCCCATCATCTTTTCCTAATGTCTTCTTCAGCTGGAAGCTGGTTTTTTCTCTTCCACAGTAGATTGTTGCTGATGGTATCCGGCCAACGGATATTGAGTATCTTGAGAAGACAACAAACCAGACGCTAACCAGAGTTCAACTCACATCTTCCTTTATTATCATTAATCTGTTTTCAGTTACTTCATTACACAATTATAGGTTGTAAGCAACTGATGAAGATCAAACAAAATAGAATGAATTCATATTAGTTCACATGGATCTTTGTATCGTTTTGTATCAGTTCAAAGTCTTACATTACACAAAATTTAAAAGCATATTGTCCTTCCTTTTATTGAGATGATGTGATTCATAGAATCAAGGAAGTAAGAAATGAAATAAACACCCATCAATATTGTTTAATGAAAGTAATACTGTAGTACATGCTACTTATATTGATAGATGTAAGTAGTATGTAATGTCAATCAGAAGTAGAATGTTGATGAAAAGAATATTGAGATGAAGGAATTGAAGGGAACAGAAAGGGACTGGAATCAAAACAGCATTGAAAGGATCATAAGGGATGTAGAAGAAAACTGCAAGATGTGCAAAGGATGTATTTGATGTATGAATTCACACTTTGCTAAACTATTGTACGATTATGAATGAAACACCCACCTAAGTCTTCGTTCACTGTAATACTGTTTATCAAATTTACATAGTAAAAAAAAACAAGTTTCGATTTAGTACCTAGATCATATTGTATCAGTTTGAAGACATTGATTACTTTTGCTTCATTACGCCTGTTACTCCCAATCGAGAATAGGCCATCGGTCAGCATACTCTAACCCAATCTGTCCTGGGCCTTCCCTCATAGCTGTATCTTATTGTTGTTCATTATTATCTGGTCTGTCTCCATTTCTCGGCGTAATATGTTCTTTGCTCTCCCTCTTCTCCTTTGGCTTTGAGGGTTCCAAGTGTGAGCTTGCCTTGTGACGTAGTTGGGTGCTTGCCTCAATGTGTGTTCTATCGACTTCCAGCAATTCTTCCTGATTTCTTCCTCTGCAGGGATCTGGTTTGTCCTCTTCCACAGTAGATTTTTTGCTGATAGTGTTTGACCAACGGATCCGAAGTATTTTGCATAGGCAACTGTTAATAAACACTTGTATCTCATGGATAATCGCTTTTGTAGTTCTCCAAGTTTCCGCCTTCCATACAGTAGAACTGTCTTGAAATTTGTATTGAAAATTGATTCATTACAGTCTTAGGTTATAAGTAGACTTAAACCAAGATGATCAAAACTTCTATTACTTTTATATTTTGAATAATTCCAAGAGTTTAATTGGATACTATCAGTATTCTTAGATTATGCAAAATATTAGCCTTGAGATATACAACGTCAATAAGTTTACTTTTCAATGGTCATGATCACTGAACAGCGGTTTCGTCCTATTGTGGGACTCCTCAGCAGTGCGCATCCACGACTTTTGTTAAATGCATGATATCTATTATTTATTGTATATACATACAATTCATTCATAGACTAACACAATCATCATTCATGAAGTTGCATATTATGATTGTATTATAATATCAGCTACTAACACATCAAGTATAATATGAGTATGCTGTTATGCCTTATATCCTGCATAATTAGTCATATATGACTGCCTATAACTGCATGATGAATCGTCTCTGTACTTAAAGATTAAACACCTCTGTTAAAAAAAACCCAGATAGATCTGTGTCTAAAGACAACTTATTACTTTTCTTCTCTTCATCAATCAAACCGATGATCTCGTCAAAACACATATGAATTCTTCAATGGATTCCTTATCGAACTCTTGAAATGATTTGAATACACTATACTTAAACATGTATCATTAACGTTATACATTATAATTCATGATAACATTATTATGATTAGTTTTACCCATGGAAACATCGTATTTACTTTTCAACATAGTGAAAATCTACGTACAATCAATTTTAATCAATATGATTCTAAAGCTAAATTACGTAGACAAAGTTTACTTGGTCGTTATCGTTTAGATTCAACAACAGGTGCACCATTAAATCCAATGGGTAGAACAGGTTTATTAGGTAAAGGATTATTACCACGTTGGGGTCCAAATCATTCCTTTGTATTATGTATTACAAGATGGACAAGAGATACACGTACTGGTGTACAAGTAATAAGAAGTAATCGTGGTGTATTACAATATTTGGCATTAGAACGTAATAAGAGATTATGTATGCCATGGGTAAGTTAAATGTATTCATTTAATATCACTATTCAAGGTATACAGATAAAATGATTTAGTTTTTGCGTGTCTGAAGTGTTTGTAAGCTTGTTAGTAATGTCTCTGACTGTGAAGCTGGATGACATGGGATCGAATCTGTCAGGGAGTATCAATTCCCTCAAAATTACAGGTAGCATGAAACCTACGTCTAGGGTCTCCTGTGGGCTACCTTCAACTACCAACTTATGCAATGACGAGTCATCTACACTAATGGCTACATTATAGGATTCGATTTGCACTAAGAAAAACAATGACATACATGACATTGATTACCATCCAGTGATCAATCAGCTGACGGGTCCCAAATAGGACGACGTGACGTGTGTCCTGGATTACACTGCTAACTACCGTCCCTCTTTACTTATAAATAGTATTATCATAAACTTTCTTGAATAGAAGTGATCTCATTCTAGAATTATTAGAACATACCATCAGAAGGTCTTCATTTAGAAGAATTATGACGCCTCATGATGAAAGCCGAATTCCTTCGGAAGTTACGAGGCCGATGCCTTTTCTGACAACCAGAGCGACCATTTATTTAGGTACATGGAATGTTCGTACAATGTGGGACACAGGGAGAGCCTTCCAAATTGCTGCAGAAATGAGAAGATACAACCTAGAGGTACTTGGGATCAGTGAAACACATTGGACACAAGTTGGACAACAACGACTAACTACAGGAGAGCTCCTGTTATACTCCGGCCATGAAGAAGAAAATGCACCACATACACAAGGAGTTGCATTGATGCTGTCCAAACGAGCGCAGAATGCGCTTATAGGATGGGAATCTCATGGACCAAGGATCATCAAAGCCTCGTTCAAAACAAAGAAAGAGGGCATTTCAATGAACATCATCCAATGCTATGCGCCTACCAACGACTACAATAAGGATGCTAAAGATCAATTCTACGATAGGCTGCAGTCAATCGTCGAGGAGTGCCCAACAAAGGACCTGACCATTCTGATGGGAGATTTCAACGCCAAGGTTGGAACGGACAACACTGGATATGAAGACATCATGGGACGACACGGACTGGGAGAAAGAAACGAAAATGGTGAGAGATTTGCAAATCTATGTGCCTTCAATAAGCTGGTCATAGGCGGCACCATATTCCCACATAAACGCATACACAAAACCACATGGACTTCACCGGATCACTCTACACAAAACCAAATCGACCATATTTGCATCAAAAAAACGTTCAGGAGGACTATAGAGGACGTGAGAACCAAGAGAGGAGCTGATATAGCATCAGATCATCACTTGCTGGTCGCCAAGATGAAATTGAAACTCAAAAAGCACTGGACAACGGGGCGGACAATATCACAAAAGTTCAATAGGGCCTTTCTTCAGGATACTAACAAACTCAACAAATTCAAGATAGTCCTCAGCAATAAGTTCCAGGCCTTTGATGATTTACTCAATGGAGAAGGAACTACTGTGGAGAGCAACTGGAAAGGGATCAAAGAGGCAATCATTTCAAAATGCCATGAGGTCCTCGGCCACAAGAAGCACCATCACAGGGAATGGATCACTGTTGATACACTGGATAAGATTCAAGAAAGAAGGAACAAGAAGGCAGCAATCACTACCAGCCGAACAAGAGCAGAAAAAGCCAAGGCACAAGCTGAATACACAGAAGTTAACAAACAGGTGAAGAGGAGCATCAGAACCGACAAACGTAAATATGTGGAAGATTTAGCAACGGCGGCGGAAAAGGCTGCAAGAGAAGGAAACATGAGACAATTGTATGACACGACAAAGAAACTCTCTGGAAATCGCCGCAAACCAGAACGACCAGTGAAAAGCAAGGAAGGCAAGGTAATCACCACCATTGAAGAACAACGAAACAGGTGGGTAGAACACTTCAAAGAACTCTTGAATCGACCAGCTCCACTGAACCCACCCAACATCGAAGCAGCACCCACGGACCTCCCAATCAATATTGGCCCACAAACAATTGAAGAAATCAGCATGGCCATCAGACAAATCAAGAGTGGCAAAGCAGCAGGACCGGACAGCATCCCAGCAGAGGCACTAAAAGCAGACGTGGCGGCAACTGCAAGGATAATCCACATTCTCTTCAGCAAAATTTGGGATGAGGAACAAGTACCAACAGACTGGAAAGAAGGACTTCTGATCAAAATACCGAAGAAAGGCGATCTCAGCAAGTGTGATAACTACAGGGGCATCACTCTTCTCTCAATACCGGGAAAAGTCTTCAACAGGGCATTGTTAAACAGGATGAAGGACTGCGTAGACGCACAACTTCGTGACCAACAGGCAGGATTCCGTAAGGATAGATCGTGTACAGACCAAATCGCAACTCTACGGATCATTGTGGAACAATCAATTGAATGGAATTCATCACTCTACATCAACTTCACTGACTACGAGAATGCATTTGATAGCGTGGACAGAACAACACTATGGAAACTTCTTCGACACTACGGCGCGCCTCAGAAGATAGTCAATATCATACAGAACTCATATGATGGATTACACTGCAAAATCGTGCATGGAGGAGAGTTGACAAAGTCGTTCGAAGTGAAGACCGGTGTTAGACAAGGTTGCTTACTCTCACCCTTTCTCCTGGTGATCGACTGGATCATGAAGACGTCAACGTCTGAAGAGAAGCGCGGGATACAATGGACATCCAAGATGCAGTTGGATGATGTAGACTTCGCAGACGATCTAGCCCTTCTATCCCAAACGCAACAACAAATTCAGGAGAAGACGAACAGTGTGGCAGCAGCCTCAGCAGCAGTAGGTTTCAATATACACAAAGGGAAAAGCAGGATTCTCCGATACAACACAGAATGCACCAATCCAATCACAATTGACGGAGAAGATTTGGAAGATGTAAAAACCTTTACGTATTTGGGCAGCATCATTGATGAACAGGGTGGATCTGATGCAGATGTGAAGGTGCGGATCGGTAAAGCAAGAGCAGCATATTTACAACTGAGGAACATCTGGAACTCAAAGCAACTGTCAACCAACACCAAGGTCAGAATTTTCAATACAAATGTCAAGATAGTTCTACTGTATGGGGCAGAAACCTGGAGAACTACGAAAGCCATCATCCAGAAAATACAGGTGTTTATTAACAGCTGTCTACGCAAAATACTTCGGATCCGTTGGCCGGACACTATTAGCAACAACGTACTGTGGGAGAGAACAAACCAGATCCCAGCGGAGGAAGAAATCAGGAAGAAGCGCTGGAAGTGGATAGGACACACATTGGGAAAAGCACTCAGATCCGTCACAAGACAAGCCCTCACATGGAGTCCTGAAGGTCAAAGGAAAAGCGGAAGATCAAAGTAGAACACATTACGCCGGGAAATGGAGACAGACATGAGAAAAATGAACAAGAATTGGATGGAACTAGAAAAGAAGGCCCAGGACAGAGTGAGTGGGTTGGAGAATGCTGGTCGGCGGCCTATGCTCCATTGGGAGTAACAGGCGTAAGTAAGTAAGTAAGTAAGTACCATCTAATTACTTTTAATAAATTCATACATCATAGGGATTTGAGTCTATTTCAAAGTTTCAAGAAACGTTAACTAAAATGTAGGGAATTACTATAAATTGTATGAATGTTCCAGAAGATATAAGTCAAATACTAACCTTGATATCAATCTCAAAATAGACAGTTGTCAACGATTTACACACCATAGATTAAACGCACAATTATTTTTCATTATGCACATCAATACAGCAAATCTTTCAACGCGCGACTAGAACCTAGGACCTTCAGTCTCGCGCGTGAACGCTTCACCTCTAGACCACTGAGTCGGCCGGCATCCAGCGGTGTTGATGTCTAACTTCAACCAATCCATGAAATTGCGTGACCATCTTCCACTGTACTGAGGTAGATACCTGTCTCTATCCGATACGGTTTAGCTCCACTGGTCACGGCTTGGGATTAGGAACAAGTACCAACAGACTGGAAAGAAGGACTTCTGATCAAAATACCGAAGAAAGGCGATCTCAGCAAGTGTGATAACTACAGGGGCAACACTCTTCTCTCAATACCGGGAAAAGTCTTCAACAGGGCATTGTTACTTACGCCTGTTACCACTCGTATAGGAGTATTGGCCGATGGTTAAAGGCCCTGAATGACATGGCTGAAAATCGTTTGCAATGGCGCAGGTGCATACACTCTTTGTGTTCTCCCAAATTTTGATCTCATTATTCCTCCTTATCTCTCTTTTTTCTCTTCCCAAATTTATTCCACTGTATTAATACTCTTTAAATAACATCTCCAAACACTAAATTTTCCGATTAGTGCTTATACTCTTATTATCTCTACCACTATGGTATTTGAATCGACCACTGCATCTCTGTGCTAACGTGTTGTGCCAACTCGAACTGATGTACGTACTTACAAAGTTCTACGTTGTTACTGACTGATTGACTGATAGGCCACTCATCAGCATTTTACATCCAAACCTGTCATGGGCAATCCCTCACAGTTCTTTCTAGTTGTTATTCATCCTTTTCATACCTGTTTCCGATTCTCGAAGGAGTGTGTTCTTTGGTCTTCCACTTTTCCACTTTCACTCAGGATTCCATATTAGGGCTTGCTTCATGATGCAGTTTGATGATTTGCGTAATGTATGTCCTATCCACTTCCAACATCTTTCCTAATTTCCTTCTCAACTGCAAGCTGGTTTATCCTCTCCCACAGTAGATTTTTGCTGATGGTAGCCGGTCAACAGATAGTGAGTATTTTGAGTAGACAATTATTTATAAATACTTGTACCTTCTTGATGATGGTTGTAGCAGTTCTCCACGTTTCAGTTCCGTACAATAGAATTAAATGTCTTGACGTTTGTATTGAAGATTGTGACTTTGATTTTGGTCTGCAGCTGTTTTGAGTTTCATATATTCTTCACTTGAGGCCCATACTTTGCCAATCCTCGCCTTTGCGTCTGCATCGAATCCTCCTTGTTCATCAATGATGCTT